GGTAGTTTGATATAGCGCCCCTATATGTCAGACGCCCCTATTTGTCAGGTAGCGTTACCAACCTTAGTGTCTCAGGTTGCTGATCACAGCACAAGATTAGATCCATCTTGCCCGCTGTGCAAGAGCTTTGTCTTAATTTAAGTTTTATTTTTACCATTGTTTTTAGCATACGGTATTAAGGTGTTAAGTATTATGGTCGTTTTTTAAACTCTTTAGTCAGGAAACTGTCATTGATTGGAACATATATAATCACAGTTAATCCTTGTAACTTAATACAGCCCTTGATGTTTGAAATGTTCAGTTCCCTTTTGCTATTTGCCTCTTTCATTTCTTTGATCCCCGAGGTATCACATCTTGGTATTCTGTGGGAGTGTCAAAAGACTGTTGGGAAGATAAAGATGAAAAAAAAAATAGCGATGGTGTTTGTATATATATATATATATATTTATTTACAAATTACATTGATAGACTACTCAGATCTTGAGTACATATGGAGTTTAATACAGGTCTGTTTCGTAGGCNTAACAAATTACGTTGATAGACTACTCAGATCTTGAGTACATATGGAGTTTAATACAGGTCTGTTTCGTAGGCTAGCATAAAGCTAGCCCACTCATCAGTTAGTTTCCATATACACTGAAGTCTACTAAGAAACACATCAACAATATGCTCACGCAAGACATGATAAACCATTACAAAACATCATAATAGACTGCTACAATCAAATTGTTGCATGTTCGAAAATTCTTCTTAAATTTTGAAATTTATGTGCGAGCTTTGAACATGTCAATGTTTCAAGTGCTAGCATGCACGCGCTGGGAAAACAAAATGCGGTTAGTCAACCATATCTTAGAATGAACTTTCTTCGGTGCTGGCATGTGGAATCAGCTTGTTTTGTTTGTTTAGTGTTGCCAGTTCCGGTTTGGTGAAGATGAAGTGCTTCTCCGTCGTGCATAGGTTGCATCGTTTCATCAGATTCGAGTAGGGCTTCGCCTTGGCAAGGATCTTCCATTTGATGGTGAAGTGTTGTTGTTTGCTTTTGAGCTGCCA